GAAAATATCAAAAAACTAAACTATTGAAATAACTGAAAATACTACTTACATAAAATATTGTATAGCTGCGTAAAAACTAAGGTTCTAATATTCACTTTNAGTTACTCAGGATTTATAGTTTGTCACATACATTATAGCTGATATTCACAGTCCGATCTTATATTTAAGATTATCTTAAGATTTTATCTTAACCAATTGTGCTATACAACCATTTCATTGGTTAAATGAGATCTTAAGACAGTTTTAAATACCGACCTATAGATTTTCAGTATTGGCAGTCAATATGGTACGGAACGCAGTTTGTGATTGGTCTAAAGATTAAAGTCTAAAAGCATATGCCAATCACGCAGAGCCGCTCAATGAGCGGTTGCACTACTAAATGCATTTATAAAATTGTAGTTCGGAACATAGCTATAACTGTGAAATAACCGATACGTCCGGTTATCAGATATTGTAACCGATTATTCGGTTAACTGCATCTAAAAAAACAACCGGTTGATAACCGATTAACCGAAGCAAAAAATCCGGTTGTTCGGATAACCGGTTAAATTTGCCCATCCCTAGTCGGCACCGTACTAGCAATATAGGAGTATTACATATGGTGCGCGCCCTCCTGCGCCATCTCCATTAACCTCTCCAGTTGCGCCTGCGCCTCGTCCGATTCTGATTCTAACGAGTGCGCAATTCCTCTCGAATATAGCTTCCTCTCTTGGCGGTTCTCGCTCAATGGGATTTGGCCTGGCGCCTGCAGTTCTGCCGTCGGTTGCACTGGCACCCTAAAGAGCCGTCTACAATGGAGAGTTTTAGACTGTAACAGTAAAGAGCCGTCTACAATGGAGAGTTGTAGGCCGTAATAGTAAGAAATTGACCAATCGCAGACGAAGTACAGAAGAATAATCGATTGTGATTTGTCAATTTCTTACTGTTACGGCCTACAACTCTCCATTGTAGACGGCTCTTAAGAAACTGACAAATCACAATCGATTATTCTTCTGTACTTTGTCTGTGATTGGTCAATTTCTTACTATTACGGCCTACAACTCTCCATTGTAGACGGCCCTTTAACTTTGTTAAGGGTCGTCTACAATGGAGAGTTTTAGACTGTAACAGTAAGAAACTGACAAATCACAATCGATTATTCTTCTGTACTTTGCCTGTGATTGGTCAATTTCTTACTATTACGGCCTACAACTCTCCATTGTAGATGGCCCTTTACAGCAGTAACCACTGTAGTCGGAGAACGTCCTTAAACCAAACCAGCGACTGAAAATAGCGGTTTCTTTCTCATTCTCACAAGAATCAAGTGGAAGTAAGTTTGAGCCTTCTAATTCGGTCAGACCGTCTAAACACGTAATTGAGATTAACATCATCTTGAATAACTAAATACACACTGGAGTTTGTGAGTATGATTCAGAAGAATAATAATAGGAGAAAAGAACACTTATTTTCCATAAGTGTAAAGGAAAGAACAAGAAAACAAATAGAAAAAAAATAGTGATAAAGCAGCAGGATTGTAGTGTATAAAAAATCCTAATACAGATATATATTCAAGATATATTAATACATGCATAATCCATACATAACATAGATTAAAAACAGATTAAATGCAATATTTGATTATCTTGTTAATCTAAGGTTCAGTATATTTACCATCAACATATTTTTATACAAGTACTTTGTAAACAAAGTTTACAAAGTTTACATTACAAAGTAAAAACAAGGATGTTGTATCATGAAAGTTTATAAAATATTAAATGACTGCCATTATTGTGACGCAATAAATTTATTATGAGATTAAAAATATAAAGAAGAATCCAATGTTTGAGTGTTTGCTACTTTGCTGGAATGGCTATAAACAAAATTTTGTACTTAGATTTAGTACTATCAATATTAACTTTTTTGTATGTGGCAGCTGACAGTGATGTTAATAACACTATGAAGTGTTCAGTTAACAAATTTATGCGCAAACAAGTACCAGCAGAACCTTTGAATGGCATGTGCATGGGAGATGTTGTAATGTACTTGTCAAAAGCATTGCATTCTATCGTTGACAAGGAGCTCAGTATATCCTCCTTCCAAGAAATGATTAATGATATGGAATTCACAAACATAGCTGACAATTTGAATATTCAATTGAACCTATTAGTGGACAAAGTCAATAATAAATTAAGATTGCTCCTTGATATTCTTAAACAAAGCTATAATATTATATATCCTATTCTGTCAAAAACACAAGATCAGTCTGTTTATTTTAACCAAATGATAGAATTGGATATCATTCCAAAAAGAATTCCAAATATATGTAATCAAGTAATAACAGGTACTTTTTAAGAAATATAAATTTAGTGTTCTATTTTTTGCATATATTATAATTAATGTTGATTTATGTTTATATTTAGCACTTGCTACACATTTAAAGGATCAAAAATGGAAAGATTTACATGTATTACCTATGAACCAACCAAGTGTGATATGTGGACCATCTACAATGATTCAGAACATTGGACCGCTTTTACTGTCTCATTACTGTCCTCAGAAAAATATCATTTTGCTTTTGGATACAGACATGTCTGAACCTGATCTGTCCTTAGCTCAGTTAACAGCCAAAACTATTATAAATATGTTATCTGAAGCAGATAATATATCTGTTGTGAGCCTTGGCAATAGTATTCCTGTTCTTTGTAAAGATGGTTTATTAAAGGCAACAGATATCAATAAATTCCAACTAGTTCGTTATATTGATAGTTTAACTAAACTCGGTAAGTTTAGTATATATATTATTAATATATTTTTTATTAGTATATTTTTAATGTATTATATATATTTAATACATATTGATTTATATATATATAATGCTTTTTAAATTCTATTTTAGATATAAATCAAACTATGAATGTGGACTTTAAGAAGTTAACGCAATTTGTGAAAGATGAAATAATTGTTATACATTTGACTAATAAATTAACAAAACTGCCAAATGTGCAAAGAATATTTGAAATAATTTCAGAAAAGTTTAAAACTTATTTTAAATCTATTCTTATTCGTTCAAGTGAGTTAATTTTATCGGTTATCTGTATTTATATTTTGTCAATTTATTTGTGAAACATCTTTTTATAGTAGAGTTAACTTTTTTCAGAGCCATTATCACATACTGGAAATAAACAGACTTTAAATAATGATACTATAATTTTACCAACCCAAAATGTTCTTGGATATGAAATAGGAAAGTTATTCTCTTGTTTACAATGCTCAAATCAGCAAAAGAAAGATTATTACATATTAGATCCATATTTTGAGCCATATAGAAAGTCAATGATGCTGTCAATCGGTCAAATTACAAGTACCGCGATACTCTCTTTAGATGTAAACCTGAACGAATTTCTTGATGATCTAACATATTTCAATGCTGGTCCTAACGTTCACGTTATAGTTTTTGACGGCAAAGGTGTCGTTTGGATACATAAAGATTTTCCTAGGATTGAGAAAATAATGGAGCAACCGCTTAAAGTATATTTGCAAGATATTGAAAATATAGATAGTCAGACAGTGATAAAAATGATAAGCGATGTTCAAGGAATTATACACATGAAAACAAAGCTAGGTGAACAGGTAAATAATTTAAAGAGGGAGTCTATTTTTTTGAGTCGAAACACAAAACTGATCTTTGAAAATTTTTTTGGACAAAAAGAAATAGAAGCATGAGGTTTACAGTATTTCATTTAAACTTTTGTTTTTATAAACAAATTTTATAATCTTCTCAACAATATGCCAATTGTTCACAGTAAGTTACAAAGAAGCAATCCGACAAGATAAGACAAATTGACGGCGACTAGAGCACAATGAAGAAATAGATTTTAAACCTTAACTAATCAGTTGGAACATAAACTACAGTTTGGTTAAAAAAGTGCTCTTTAAAGTTTTCTTAAATTTGTCTTAGAAGATTTGCTGAGATTTAACAGAACGAAATAAACCAAGATTGAATCAAATTTTTTTTAAGTAAAATAAATGATCAATTGAGAACAATGGAACTTCAAAGTTAAACGTTGCGTTTTCGCAAAAGTTGTATTTTTTTTAAGTATGTAAAATAATTTTAGTTTAAAATGTATATTTTAGTAATTTATATCTTGCAATAAAATGTTTAATTTAAAAAAAATCAAAAGTTTTTAATCGATCAGAATAACGATTTGAGTGCTATAGTGGCCGTCAAGTTGCAATACATGATTTCGAAAAAAAACGCGTTTAAAGTTTTATAACGGCTATGCGTGTTGGTCCAAATCTGATTACGTAGAGTTGTAACTCCATATTTTCGAAAAAAATCGCTTTAGTTCTAGATATTTTACAGATATACAAAAAATAAACCAAAACTCGATTTTTCTGATTTCTCAAGAAAGTAGACTTCTCTTTTAATTTTAAATAAAATGATCTTGAGTAAGAGAAAATTAAATTTTGATATAAATGTATCTCAAATGTATCTGTATTTCCAGAAGTGGTATAGATGGAAACACTTGATTTATGAAGACTTGATAATATGCATAACATCTATCACTGAGGAAGGAATATTGCCTGTAGCAAAAATCGTGCCCTTACTACCGAAAAACATATTGCATTATCGTCTAGATCTTATGATTCAAAACGTTATTTATAAGGATATATTTTGCATTTACAGAAACAGGATTCTGACATTATGTAAAAAAAAAAATTCTTATTACGGATTAATAGTTACAACATTAGTAAACATTGTAAAACAAAACAATTATTTTTTTGTTTTTTTTCAGCAACTGGAGTAGTTTATTTGTCACCATGGTGCTTTCAGTCTCCAATAGAGCAATTAAAATTGTTAGAAACTAGCTCAGCTATGATAATACAAAGTTACATGGCATATATAAAAGATTTAACAGGTCTTTTAGCCAATCCTGGTTTATGTCCCTCTGTGAAATCTGATGTAGCAATTCTGGCACAAATTTTAGAAAACTTTAAAGAGCAACATAGCAAGAGTTCGATAAATAAGTTTGTACTCCGAAGGTATAAAAAAAGAAAAAAGTAGCAGATGTTTGAACATTGCTAGCTTTTTTAGCAGTATTTTAATATATTTGCTAATGTAATGCCGGTACTAACTTACGTAAAATTATAATTATTAGAATAGAAACTTGCACTATAATATTACATGTTCTAAGTTATAAGGCGTTTAACTTTTAAAGTCTTTCTTTTTAATTAAAAAATTAATAAATTAGTTTTAAAGCTTTGTTTAGTTCTTGTTGGTTTGCAATCTTATTGTTAAATTGTTATTTCTATTTTGTTTGTTATTATTTTGCTTAATAAACAATTATAACATTTTTCTAAACAAAATATACTATTCTTCAGTCTTAATGAAATGCTAGCTTAAAAAATGTGTATAGTTGTTGTAATATTTTAGGTATATTACCAGCACAAGTAGTGGTGTATTGGAAATCTTTCCCGGAATGATATTGGATTCTTATTTCGATCCCAAGAGGCGAATATGGTACGGAAAAGCGCTAGAATATCCCGACAAGATAATCTTAACTCCACCTTACTTAGATGGAGCTGGATCCGGCTATGTGGTCACTTTAAGTCAAGCTATTAGATACTCAACTAAAAATAACAAAAGTGCAGATGACGTTATTGCTGTCGTATCTATGGATGTTACGATGAGTTACATCAGCAGACTAATATTGGATATGTTTTCGTTCTGTTCTGAAGCGACCGTAAGATGTTTCTTAATGGATGACAAAGGTTACTTGATATCGCATCCAACGTTCTTAGAAATGACAGACAAGATCGAGCAGCATCATTTAACGCACAAAGAAATTTTAATTGCCAATGACATATTGAATCACGAGCTATTTGTGAAGAAACAATTGTGCGTCAATTATTTGGACGGCACTTTACGTAGATATTATCAGTTTAATATGTCACTCGATGAAGTGCTAACTAATATAGCACACGGTGAACATTGCGTTAAATATCAAATAGCTGCTGTACCGGGTACAAATGTGTTTCTTGGCATCATCAATATGACAACACAGTGTAATCATCTTAGAGCTTTTTGTCCATGTAGTACGGTTAGTTCATACATTTTAATTGTAATGTATTTATTTATTGTGAGTTTGATTAGAAATTTTTTTTATTGTATAGATGGATCATTCGTGCTTAAATTGTAAAAGTATGGAACAAACTGGTTGCGAGTGTCCTTGCGAATGCTCATTGTATTCTCCTACCTGTAAGCAACAGAATATTGATCATTTACATTCTTGTCCGCCATTATATGAGCAAGGAGCGAGTTCACAAATGTCATGGATGCAGTCAGAAAATTTACAATCGTGCCCGGTTATTGATTGCAAATCATACATGATAGAAAGAGACTGTCTGGGCATTGCAGACTGTCAGTGGTGTCACATTGATAGCGATGGGGAAACTCGTTTGCAACAACCATTTTGCTCTGATTTGTCTGTATGTTTCAGAGGAATTTTCGGATCTTTGACACCTTATAGTTCTTACAGTAAGTTTGCTTTCTCTTCATTCACATTTCTTTATTTTTATTAATCACTATTTATTTTTGGACAGCAGACTGTTCGATAATTGCACACAGAATGCTTTCTCTACTTTTTTATATATAATCCGTACATCAAAAGTTTTAATTTTTATAAATTTTTTGGAGATATTTAATTGAATGACTAATATGAGTATCATGGCCAAGTAAAATAACCTGAAGTCAACTGGCAAGAAATTTTAAATTTATCGATATCAACTTGGTTATAACAAAATGATATATTTTCAGATTCACAATCGACAAACGAGATTACATTGCGAGATTGGCCGTCAGTTGGTCCAGTTGCCGGTGGTATTCTCGCAGTAGTTCTGACTCTAGGTATCATTTTATTCTGTTATAAGCTCCGATCAATGCACTCAAACCTAGAACATCAGTGTTTTCATGTTCATACATCTCCTGACACGTTACGTATGACACATATCGATGGCGATCCGGAGCCTACAGAATCTGATCAAAAGAAGAATATGGGCTGCCTCGTAAAGGATGGTGTCGCACCCGTATCACCATATAGAGTTTCCACGAACTACAGAAGACCACCTGGCGGTGACAGCGATCACGGATACAGCACAATGACACCTCATGATGATTTTGAGCAGCAACCATTTGCCTCCGAGCCACTACTAGTAATTGATAATATTGAACCAGATTTGAACAAACAATCTAATATCAAAGTTCCTTGTCCTACAACGCATTTAGAATCACCACATCACGTTTTAGTTCCTGTTACTGTTCATCGTGATATGGAAACAAACTACTGTTAGCACAGAACTGAATTTATATTGCCATTCAATTTTAAAGATAACAATATTAAAATATATTTTAGACATAACTTTTTTTGTGACATGTTAAATATTGGATATGAAATTTAGATGGCGAACACAATATTATATATGGTTTGAATAGAACTCTGTACTTTTCCTTGTATTGTCATTTTACATATGTATGTTGTGTGTACATATATGTGAGTCCAATGTTAGTCTTATCAAAAAGTATAGATATCAGCAGTTCGTCTGTGTGCCTTCTTATGTTGTTTATCGCAACCATTTTTTTGCTCATATTGGTAATATCCATGATTTTGCGTGTATGTAAATATGTATATGTAATATTCATGAGATTTTTGCTATACCGAGATGAGATATAAGCGGAATATTGCAATGTTTCGATATTTTTAAGAGAGATTCATATATTTTTTATAGGATAATTTTAAAAAATTTATATAGAATCGCGCAAGAGAGAGATAATCATTAATATTGTAATAGCTCTAAATTTATAAATTTTATATGAAACTATTACTAATTTTATAACTAAATGGAAATGAGAGAAGTTTTACACACACATACACATATATAACAGAATGAGTTTGATAAAAAGATCAGTTTTCTCGAAAACGGTTAGAGATACAGAAAGAAACCCATTATCAAAATTGTAGGATATTAAAGGGGATATTATAGCTTATCTTGAATGACCGTTAATATTTTTTTTCACATTACTAATCAGAAATTTTTTTAATGGAAAGGCATATTTTTTAGTCACTCTCTCGATAATATTTAATAAGCTTAATAACTTTAATATAAAAGTAATTTTCAAAAACTCAATCTTTGTCAAAGTATAAACAAAATTAGTCAACATAAACAAATATGGAACAAATCTTTTTACTATTACAATAAGTGCTCAAAATATTCACTATATTATTCCAGACATGCCTGTAGTCTTTGTGGAAAGTTTGCTTTTAGCACGTATTGTAATGGAAAAAAGATTTTTTTCTTTTTTTTCAGACTAATTTTGTTTATACCTCGACCAAATTTTTTTGATTGCTAATGTGAAAAAAACTATTTAAGATCAAATTCAAAGTTATCATGGTATATCATTCACTTTAATTATCTTTTTATAATTTTGATATTGGATGTCTTCCTCTATTTCTAATAGTTATCGAGAAAAACGTGTTGACCTTTCTATCAAACTCACTCTGTATATTGTTTTATTATTTTTGTTTTAACTTACCTGCAATACTTTCCATATATATGTACATACTAGCAAACATCTATATATACATCTATATATGCAATTCTGACTAATAATTCTAAGCAAGGAAGATATCTTCTGTTTATTGTATTTATTACTAAGAATATATACTATATACTATAATTATACATATTATTTTACATTGTTTTATGACATAGATATAACTATAAACAAAATATGTATGCAAAGTTCATATTTTGAATGAGATTTTTTAAATCGTACTTTTTGCTATTAAAATCAATATTTTATTATCAAAGACTATTTATTGCGTTATTTCTTTTTTCCTGTTTTCCAAAAAAAATGTTTTTATCAAATTTATATTCAAATTATACAAATCGCGCAATTAAATTTTCTAACTTCTAATATTCAACTATCATTTACTTAGAATGCTTAGAACTTTGAACGCTTTTACTAGCATATTTTTTTCTAGCAAGCTAAAAAGTGCTAGCATTTAGACAAAAGATACTATGTATATGATATTGTTAAGCTATAATTATATCAATAATAGTTTTTGAATAAGAAATAGTAATGTTTTCTTGATTTATATGAAATATCTAAAATTCATTTACGACATTTTAAGTGTTTGAGACTACTATTTCTGATACTTTTATTTGAATAAATCTCTACGTTTATGTATTAATATAGATTATGTTTCGTATTGTTTTGTATTAATATTATATTATTATAATATTATTTTGTATTAATATTATAGATTATATTATTGCTATGTTTCTAGGAAAACTAAAATTTCTGTTGCAGTTTATTTTGTACGTTTATTTATCTTACACAAAATTGGAGAAAATATAATATATACTATTACAGCTAATTATAACAATGAATCTTAAAATATTAAAAGAAATAATAAGACCAGCAAAAACAGAACTAAGTATATGTGCGGATTATTAAAAAAATGTTCTTAAATTACTTAATCTTTTCAATCATTTTAAAATCCTTTTTAATTATTGCGAAGTAAATTTACTACAATTTGAAATTTTACATTAGATTAGTTTGCATCTTGTACGTAAAAACAAATCTTTTTAACTCTTGTAAAAAAAATTTAAAAACTTATTGCGAAAAAATTACCTAAAATTTAAATCCAGATTTTCTGCATTCCATGTGGATGCCTTGTTAGTTCGGCTACTAATGTACTTGGTGATATCTCGCAATGTTCAACATGAAGCACGGAATAATCAATGTTTCCGTTTGCATTAATTCTAATGAATATATTGAAATTGTACAAATCACACAAAAAAACTTTTTAAGACGCATTTTGATCTTAGAGCAAAAACGGGAATTGTGTAAAAGATGTTACATTTTTAGCATGTAATACAGTAATTTGCACATATGCTTTATTAAATATTCTATCTTAAAAATAGTTTAATACAAAGTACATTGATCATCGAAAGTACGACTAAGGTATAAAATCTGGATTTTTTCTTAAAATTACGAAACCCTCCATAATCGGTGTCAATGGTATATACTCCTCGGTGGCAAGTTCTGCTCTTTCACCGTAAGCTAACAATACTGGAGTAGTGTGCGTCTGAAAGCCTGTTATAGTCTTCGGTTTGCCTGCTTGACCGACAACATCAACGGCGAGTCCAACTCTCACCGGCACAGCTAATGGATTCAACTCTTCATCAAACGTCACTAGCATCCTGGGCTGCATTGCAGCAGCCAGTGTGTATAAGAGATAGTGCGAACGGCCAAGAATAACTAAAAAAACATTACAAAATGTTACTAGCAATGAGTTTGCTTTCTCTAATAAGAAAATGGAAAATCTAAAGAGATTTAGTTATCTAAGAAAATATCACTTTTATTTTTAGAAATCTATGAAGTTTTTTGAGCCTCTTTTTTTAAATATTATATTAATTAATGTTACTTTAAATATATATATTTTATCTCTAATTAATGTTATACTGCCTTATAGATTTGCTCTACATTTTCGTTTTTTAAGACATTCGTTAAACATTTAGAGAATATAAATAGTTGATTTGTTCAGTGGTAAATATTATATTTTATTATTTTTTATAATTTAGTAAACTAATATAATGTATATACTTACTATTTTTTACATCCAAAAAACCAATGAGTGTTGACAAAAGACCAGCGAGAGCAACAGGACTTAGTAGCTGTCTGTCGCTATGATAGGGAGATAACGTGAGCGTACCCTTACCGAGATGAGTCAAACCTTGTGCGATACGCACCATAAAGAGATTGTTAGGATCTTTTGCGTGAAATTGAGCGAGTTGTCTCAACATGGCAGCCAGTCGCGCGTTGTTCGTGCCAGCGCCAACCAGGCCCATAGCGAATATTGCGTTATGCGCTACTTCTGAATCACTGTCATGTGAGAATTTAGACAGCGTATCTAGAATGTTCAACTTTGGATTCGATACCGAAATGAGACCCAAAGCTAGAGGCACTGAACGACGAATAACGGGCTCGCAATAGCGTAACAAATGACCAAATGTTCTGTATGCCATTTCCGCTCCGATTTCTTCTCCCATAGCGATTAGAGCGATACCGAGGACGGCAATAGCTTGCTTCGAACTAAGATCCTTCTCTTTTTCCTCCTTTTTCTCTTCCTTCTTATCCTTGTCTTTGTGCTTCTCTTCGTGTTTCTCTTTCTCCGGTTCATAATGTTCCGAACAAATGTGCAACAAATGTTGGATCTTGAGGACATTTCCTGTGCCGGCATATGCGCATACTTCTACTAATGTTGTTGACATTGATCTGAATGGCTCGTGAACTATTTCCAAGGCCGCTATTATCGCCTCTGCCGCCTCTTGCTTACCTAGGAAGCACAGACCTAGACCGAGCGCTAAAAATCGCGCGTACGTGTCTTTGAGATCAGACTCAGACTTATCCATCAGTGTGTGCATAATTGCTGTAGTTACATAAGCATTGCAGGAGCCAGCTGCAACCATTCCTAATGCCAGACCAGTCATGCCTAACACCTCCCAGCTTGATTTGACGTCACTAAGGACAGGTGTTAGCAAACCCAATACAGCTTCGCGGTTTGAACCAGCGTATGCAATACCAAGACCAACAATGGCACCGATTCGCATAGTATTGCTATTATGTAATACATAATCAGACAGCAGAGCCAAGGCAGGATCGCACTCGTTTCTTACGCCACAGTTGACGATACCGCAGGCCAACAAAGCACCAGACTTGATGTAGTCTTCTGATGAATAAAGATACTTATCTATCGGCGTTAGACCTCCATCGACATCCCATAGTAAGATCAAACCTAAGGACGCAGTTGCACTCAGCATACCATGCTCCTTGTTCTTGTATAACCATTTGTTACCATCCTCGATTAAGAGCTTGTCATGACCAAACGCAGCGTTTACAAAGCCGTTTACAAAACTTGCCGCGAGATTCTGACGTGCAGAGTCGACTTGGCCACCGCCAAATGGAGGACGTGAGTTTTCTAAATGAGATTTGTAAACATCCTCAGGTGTCTTTGGCTCCATTATATCTAATTCGCGTGCTAAATTCAAGAAGTGATTGTTCAAATGAGAATTAGACATTATCTCAAAAAGATCGTCATCTTCTACTGAAGCTTCATGAAATTCCAGAAAGATCTGCTGACGACCCAGCATAAAGGCTAATTGTTTTTGTATAGAGCTGAAAAATAATTTATATAAATTTTTGTTTAAAAAGATAAAACTTATAATAAACTAGAGCCCTCAGGTAATGACATGCAAAATTATATTAAATTAAATTAGATATTTAAATAAGCAATTTTTGCAAACTGTACTTACAGATCTTTACAATTTGTAAAGATAGACTCGATAAGTGGTAAATCGTTCAATTGCATTGCCAACCTGATTGCTTGCGGATATTGTTCGAATTTCCTATATAATTTACAAGCAACATGAAGAAGAGTACTGTTCTCTGGATCGGCTACGTAAGGCACGCAGCTCGTAAGATAGAGACATACTCGTTGATATACACTTTCATCAATGTACTGTTCCAACAAATCGAGTCTTTCAATCTCCATCAATAGATCACATGCTTCTGTTTCTGCATTATGTGCCATATTGTATGGCACAATTTGATGTACCAGTGCAAGCAATTTCTTGTTTGTTGCTTCAGCATTAGTGTCTGAAACTTCGTCCCACTCTCCCGCCAATTCTCCAGATAAATGTCTAACATATTCATGCCCCCATTCACCGATTGGTAGTGCTGATCCTGTTAATCTGTATTTCAAACACTCCCGACCCTCACCCATAGTCATTGCCAAAACTGAAATAATATCAGAACATAATTCCTTGCATTTGATATCAATTATCTTCTCATAAATATTCTTCATTGTATCATAATGAGGGCGCATAAACTTCAGTGGCTTTGGTACACTAGTCATTGATGTTGTTGATGCACGAATATGTGTACGCAAAGACTCTAAAGCTGGATAGTGCAGTTTTGTGTTGACATCTTGCAAGCGTTCCACAAGCAGAGTTAATTCTTCCTGTAGAAGTTTATCTTCTTCTGACTGAAAAATCATAATCAAGTTCTTAATGTATACATAGCTTTTGTCCAAGAGCTAGTTTTACTCTAGTAAATTCTGGTTAATTGTACATAACTACTATAATTGGTCAATTCCAATAAAATTAATTGGTTGATTACATTGATCAGAGATAATAAAACTAACTCTAAGTGTGAAATAAAAAAATTTTTTTTAGTACCAAATTTTTAAGTAAATAAATAGTACAAACAATTGTTTACAAATTTCAAAACAAATAGCATACAAATAATTTTACATTAATATAAAAGTAGTAAAAGTGAAGATGTAATTGGAACAAAATGTCTCTTGTTCTACTTTGTTACACAAGCAAGTAACACATTGATAACAACCATTTTCTCTCACATAAAGTTAATTTCTTACCAGTTCATTCTTATCGTCTTCTTTTCCGTTCTTTACTTCTTTTGTAACGGGTTTTGTATCTGTTTTGGTACTTTCTGGCATTTTATTTCCGGCGTTTCTAATCAATGCAAAGTAACACTTTTCTTTCAACTCTTTGATCACACTTTACAGGTTAGAACGATTCTAAATGTATTCACGAGCTTTTGCGAGTCACTCGAGCATAAATATATATATACTATAGACTACTAACGGCCGATTTCTTCATACCTCTCGATAGCTATCCTCTGAATAAATTTCTCTGAGAACCAATAAAGAGCCGTCTACAATGAAGAGTTGTAGGCGGTAATAGTAAGAAATTGACCAATCACAATCGATTATTCTTCTGTAATTGGTCTGTGATTGGTCACTTTCTTACGACTTACAGCTTACGACAGTATTGTATGTGACCGGAACTGCACTTTCTGCTCGTACGCGACTGCACTTCCTATTGCACTGTCCTATCTTTCTCAGGGCGATGTCCCATTGAGCGGAAATCTATAGCGGAACGGAATGTGCGGAACCAGCTCGACCAATCGTAACCATAGAAAAAGCGAAGGAAAGAAAACGGAATGGCTATGATTGGTCGAGCTGGTTCCGCACATTCCGTTCCGCTATATATTTCCGCTCAATGGGACATCGCCCTCACGGTCGCCAGACGGTTTATTCCTTTTCACCGACAAGATTTATTATGTTAATTGAATATGCTTGATTACGTACCGCTTTTCACTATAACCACTTTCAACTTTTTCGCTCGAATTCTTTCAACTATGCAACTCGCTTTCCCGACTGCTGAATTTTTTGAATTCTGTTATCAGTTCATCCTAAAGGGTCGTCTACAATGGAAAGTTTTAGACTGAAACAGTAAGAAACTGACAAATCACAATCGATTATTCTTCTGTACTTTGCCTGTGATTGGTCAATTTCTTACTATTACGGCCTACAACTCTCTATTGTAGACGGCTCTTAACGCGATACATGAATACTTACCTTGAGCCTCAGGTCAAGAATACCTTAATTAAGTTGGTAACATTCTGACCAATCGGCTACTTCGTCCTGACGCGGCCAGTTTGTCACCGATTCGTCTGCTGCCCCATGGACGTCTCCGCCTTAATGGTAATTCACAGCCACTCGTGCTCCCGATGTCTTAAACTTCTCTTTCCGTCTTGACGCGCTGCCTCAGCCAATCACATGGCACGGTTTGGACAACTGCGCTAATTCCGGATAGGAAATCGATTGACCACCAGATCACTTCCGTTTAAATGAATTCTTTATTTCTTAAACTATATTACAACTATTTACACCACTTTCTAGGCCTTCACTATGCACTATTACGCGCTAACAATATTTTCGCTTTGCCGCCAGGTGGTTAATAGCTTTATTTTCTATTTACTGAACAATTTTACAAGTCACTATTTTATAAATTTTTGACTCGGGAAATAATCGCGAAGGTACCCCGATTCCTGTTACACGGTTCTTTTCTTTCGCTTTCCGCTACTCTCGGCTGTCCAACGACGACTTCCCCTTTCCTGCGTCGGGCCTGGCCTTTTATTCTTAGGCTTCCCCACTCCAGTCATTTTCTCGCTCTTTCGAGTGTTTGCCTTATTGAAACCTTCTGGACTTCCCCGGAGATCTTTGTTGTTGTTTTTCTTCGCATCTCGTTCGCCTTCCAGAATTTTCGGGCAGGTTCCTATCTTAGGTGCATTCCGATATTCACTACCAGTACTGACAATGTGACGTCATAAAACAGTGCTGTTTCTATGTTCCGCAATTACTTGTACTGTTTCTTCCATCGCATAACGGAACGATTTTATAGTATCTTTTGAAGTGTACAAACATAACCAAAAATCAATCAGTGAACACGTAAGAATGGACGCCGCCATCTTTCTACTGCGACTGCCTTACCTCTCCAACCGCAGTGATGAAAGCAGGAAGTGACGACAAAATCCGTGACGTCATATGCTCGCAAACGTGCTTCGACAGCTTACTGCTATGTATTTTGGAACGGTACTTGTGACGCTGCCAGTACTGGCAGTAAATATCGGAATGCACCCCTTGTCGCGGAGCCGATAATAATAATCATAATCATCATATAGACCGAAATTATGTAACGGCGTGGAATCTTCGTGAAGCGCCTAGCAATCGTAACTCATAATAATAATAATAATAATAATAATAATAATAATAATAATGATTATAATAATCGTAATTATAATAATAATAATAATAATAATAATAACAATAATAATAATCATAATTATAATAATAATAATAATAATAATAATAACAATAATAATAATCATAATTATAATAATAATACTAATAATAATCGTGACCATATTAAGACGAAATAATTTCTTAATTATCAAACAACAAACCTCGTCACGTGTATAATCATAATAACATTCGTTATGCGCATATTTTTATTCCTTGTAAATAAACAATATTCATTACAATAAAAATAATAATATCCCTAAAGTCCATTACCTTTTTATCTAAATTTTTTTTGATCCCATCACCAGCTTTATTTGTTTATTATTATTATTATTTTTTTTTTGTTTTTCCTTTCCCCTATCTTAGTCCTCTTTGTTTTCCCACCATGGATCATAATGATCAATGGTGGTACATTCAGAGGTTTCCTCTGGCTGCACACTATGCTCCCGAATGTACGCCATTATTGCCTCTAATTGCGCCTGCGCCTGCCTTGCCTCTCGCTCAATGTTTTCCTGTTGCTTGCCTGTGTCGCTGCTGTCGGCGTCCGACCTTAAGGCGAGTCTCTGCAACTCCTGGATCTCCTGTAGTAATTGTATCTGCTCCCTATTCATCGTCGGTCGCATGTAGAACAGGCCTAAGGAGAACCAATTTTGGGAGATGGTTTGGTTTGGTGCATATATGGCTCAAAGGACCGATTCAAGTTAGTTCACACGCCATTCTAAGCTTGTAATCGTGTTTTTCTTGGTATGAACACTGTTAAACAGTTAAATGACTGACATCTCCAACTGGAGTAACGAAAGTCCCTACAACACTACACAACACTCAAGGCTTTAAAAGTTATCCAACACGGAGCATTGCTCCGGAGCAGCATTAATGACATGAATAAGACTCTGATTCGTTAAATTTTAGAAACTTAGAACTAAGGAGTAATGACACTGGCAAGGAAGGGTTTGGTTTGGCTTGGTGCAAAATTGGCTCAGTGGACCGAATTAAGTTAGTCCATACGCCATTCTAGGAAGCCATTCTAGGGACTTCTGACTGATATTAGGCTTGGAGCACCTTTGCTGAGCAGTCTTTTTCGTATAAGAAAAGATAAACTGTGAAGGCGAGTGGTCATGTCCAGTGTGAGGATACTTGTCTTGTGCATGGTAAGAGAAAGGGGAAGAAGTAAAAGCAGGAGTGATAAAAGCAAGGGTTTGGTAAAGCTTAAAGGGATATTTGCGCGCGTGTTACGAAACATAACATGGCGTGCATAGCGCGAATATTGTCTGAGAAAGCTATATTAGCCACCTTGTAAGGCGGGCTGAAGCCACTATGGAAAAGATCTATCAAAAGTTGATCAGATAAGTCTTTGTACATTGGGCAGTTGAAAAAAATATGATCAAGATCCTGGTTTGCGTGACCGCACGGGCACTCAGCCGAGTCGACAATGTTTTTGTTAGCTAGATGCGAACGTGCGCTAGTATGAAATGACCGAATGCGAGATATCAAGGAGATCAAAGATCTAGGGAGGAATTTTTTGGTACCCTCATACCACGGTTTTCCCAAAACCTTCCCTTTGAGCCGAAAATATCGGAGGCCTTTATACCGTGCCTCAGTTGTAAGAAACGCAGTGGACTCTTCAACCGCCATAGCTCGAAGGCTAGGAAAAACTGATCTGGCGGAGCAAGTTTCTGAAGAGTTTGGTTCCGGCATATCTAGAGCCTTTTTAGCGTATTGGTCCGCCATTTCGTTCCCCCGGATCCCCTTATGAGCAGGAACCCAAAGGAACTCAACCTGAGCTTTTCGCGCAAGCAACTCTAAGGTAAGCGTCTTTATTTTATAGATATCTGTAGGATGACTGCCCTGCGGGTCAAAGGAGTCGAGGCACCTAAAGGACACTTAACGAGTCCGTGGCTACATACGATTGACCGAACTCAAAGTCACTGATGTACTCCAACGCGCAGAGTACGCCCTTGGCCTCAGCATCAAAAACTGAAGAATGATTATTGATTCGGGAATAGTGTGTCATATCTGGGTATTCAGACACCACTGAGTACCCCACCCTTGCAGGAGAACTTCCAGAAGGGGGTATGCGGGAACCATCAGTATAAAACACATACGTGGCACGTTTTTCGACAAGAAACGAGGCGAAGGCCTGTTGTGGAGAAGTAGCATTTCTGAAGATCAAACCCGACTCAGTGTCCACTGGACACTTGAAGTAACGTACGGTGAACGGGAACGCAAGTAACCCCGGCAAAGGTCTCGGTTCAATCTGTCGGATCAACGGAGCAAGGTGTACAAAGATGTCAAACAGATAAAATCGATTATCATCACATATTGGTTCCCAGTTAGATAGGGATTGAGATAGCATGAGATTAAGAGGGTGGTCAGTTCGTGAAGCCACGCGGCATGCGTACTTTCGCATAAGATACTTGTGCCTACTCCGGAGAAGATGTTCATTGATAACATCCAAGAGTACATTGGTGGGTGTGGTACGCATGAAGCCACAAACTACACGGGAACATGCATACTGAAGTCTATCAAGGACAAGAGCCTCTCGATCCCCAAGAGGAGACGTTACCTGAGACCCCCAGTCCAACACCGACCTCACCAGGCCCTTGTAGGCAGTAGAAAGAACACTCGGATGGGCACCCCACTTAATTCCAGCAATAGCTTTGAGAACACTTATTCTTGGAAGAACTCTTTTACGAATTTCAGAAACGTGAGTTTTCCACTTGAGAGCATAATCGAGAAACACGCCCAAAAATTTGACTTTCCAGGCTATTTGTACAGTTTTATTGTTCAAAGAAAACTTAATGTTTTCCTTACAGATTTGCCACTTCATATTTCTTAAAGTATTAAGAGAGTAAAATGTGGCGACTGACTTTTCTGGAGATAGTCTAAGTCCCAGATCAGATAAGTGTGCGCTTAGGTTTTTTAGCGCAATATTGAGTTGATGGGTTACATACCTAACTGAAGAATGTGAAC